CCTGCGCAGTATCTTAGCTGTTCCCAGGACTGCGCTCTTCTGGACAGAGATCTCCGATGTTGTTCCCGGGATCTGCTGGAGCCACTCGCCTAGCTTGGGAGTCACCGCACCTAGTGCTCCGATTACCACGGGACCACCGTTACCTTCACCCTCCACATCCTCTCGAGCTCTTCTCTGAGCCCTTGGTATTTCTCCAGCTTCTCGTGTTCCTTCTTCCTGATATTGCTGTCATTCGGAACCGCTACATCGATCACTACGGCCGTCTTCTTCTGTTTGTCTACCACCACTATGTCCGGTTGGTTAGCCACCACCATTTTGTCCGTCTGTATCTGGAAGTCCCACAGGATCTTAGCTCGGTCATTCTCCACCACCCTTGGGGGCATCTCCCATTTTGACCTCGGGACTTCCAGGTTATACTCGGCACAGATGTTCCTGTACACTATGCCGGCCACTTGGTTATGGTGTTCCATGTATGCCTTGTCTGCTAGCATCTTGCACCCTGCTGTTATGTGCTGGATTGTCTCTGGGGCATCTTTACACAGCCTGCACCTGGGGTCTTGCCGGGTGTGATAGACCCCAGCCTCTATGGATCTTGTGCTCAGAGCTTGTTCTTGTGCTGCCATGATTAGTGCCTCTGTGCTGTCTTTCAGTCCAGCTTTGTCCAGCCACTGGTAGGATTTCTGGATATCAGCCACCTCCTCTATCTGCCGGTGGTACATACCGTGCAGGGCCTGTCCTTCCATGATGGTTCCTCGTCTCCCTCCTCTTTCTTGGGTTTCTGCTGCCTGAGGTATTCACTGAGCACTCGGTCAGTTGGGGCCATCTTCCCAATGTATTCTTGGATGTTCGTTGTCTCATCCTGGACTGTGGTGCTGACACTCACCAGTCCCCGGCCCCCTTCCTTCCGCTTAGCGTACAGCCTCAGGGTGCTGGACTTGGGGTGAAACCCTCCATGCATGGTAAGGAGCTTTCTTGTCTTTATGTCAGTGGCTTCTATCTCCTCCTTTGGCCAGCCTATTACCCCAGCAGGGTACCTGATCACGGGCAGGGCGTACGTGTTGATGGCCCGGATCTTGTTCTTACCATTCAGCTGACTCCTCAGGATTTGCCTGACCCTCTGCAGGTACTTGGTGGTTGCAGCCTTTCTAGCGGCCTCTTCATGGTTCCCATTCGCCTGCGGGATCCCCAAGTACTTGTAACTGTCCTCTATGTCTGCAATGTTGCCTTCTGGTAGTTCAATCCCCTCAGTTCTGACTACCTTCCCTCTCTTTGTTACCATCCGACTACACTTCTCCAGTCCGAACGACATTCCAATGTCATTGCTGTATAGCCTGGTAGTGTGGATCAGTGAATCGATGTCTCGTTCACTCTTGGCATACAGCTTGATGTCATCCATGTACAGGAGGTGGCTGACAACTGCTCCGTTCCGTAGTTGGTATCCGTAGCCAGTCTTGTTAATGATCTCACTGAGGGGGTTCAGGCCTATGCAGAACAGCAGTGGGGACAGAGCATCTCCTTGGTAGATCCCGCACTTGATGGTGACTTGTGCTATGGGCTTGGAGTTGGCCTCTAGTGTTGTACGCCACATCCCCATTGAGTTCCTGATGAAGGCTCTTAGGGTCCCATTGATCTTGTACAATTCTAGGCATTCCAGTATCCAGCTGTGGGGCATTGAGTCATAGGCCTTCTTGTAATCAATCCAGGCAGTGCACAGGTTGGTCAGTCTGGTCTTGCAGTCTCGGCTGACTGTTCTGTCTACCAGTAGCTGGTGTTTTGCGCCTCTGGTATTCTTGCCAATCCCTTTCTGTGTCCCGCTCATGTATTGACCCATGTGCCTGTTCATCTTAGCCGATATGATGCCTGACAGGAGCTTCCATGTAGTACTGAGGCAGGTTATTGGTCGGTAGTTGGAGGGGACCGGTCCCTTCTTGGGGTCCTTGGGGATCAGGACCGTCCGGCCTTCAGTTAGCCATTCCAGGTGTCTCTCGTTAACTAGCAGCTGGTTCATTTGTGCTGCCAGACGCTCGTGGAGTGCAGTCAGCTTCTTCAGCCAGTAGGTGTGAACCATGTCGGGCCCTGGTGCTGTCCAACTCTTCATACTGGAGACCCTTTCTTGGATATCTGCCACTGTGATGGTTACTGGACCCTGTTCAGGGAGGTCGCTGTGGTCTGCCCTCAGATCCTCTAGCCACTGAGCATTGCCGTTATGGGTTGCATCCTTCTCCCATATGCTCTTCCAGTATTGCTCCGTCTCCAGCCTTGGTGGTGCTGTTCTCTTATTGTTCCCTTGCCACTGAGAGTACACCTTTGCTGGTTCTGTGGAGAACAGCTGGTTTATTCTCCTGCCTTCTATCTCTCTGGTGTACCTCCTCAAGCGGCTGGCCAAGGCTGTGAGTCTTTGCTTGGCAGTTTCCAAGGCCTCAGGTATGGACAGCTTGCTGTATTTCTTAGGCACCTTATTTGTCGCACCTTTCTGCAACTCCGTTAGTTGGCTAACCTCCCTCCGTGCTACTTTGATCTTGCCCTCTAGCCTCCTTCTCCATGGAGGGTACTGCCCCTTGTCGCTGTTCAACTTGTAGCCAAGCATCTCACTGTACGGCTATCATTTGTTAACATGACGCTTGTTCTTATACATGTAATACATTTATTACCAACCTGAAAGCTTATCCGCTGGTCATTCGACATGACGAATGACTTCTGAAATCTTAATCTAGCTCATGATGCTGTAGATTTCCGTTTCGGTCCACTAGTAAAACCTAGTTCTATTAATCTGCACTCATTACTCTTGAACCGGAAGTAAGTCCCCAAAAACTGAATTTTGGAACCGAAACTGAATGGTGAGAAGTGAATCTGAAATTATTTGAGAGCTAAATTTTTAAAGGATAATATACAGTTTCAAAGCAAATGAATTCATTACCAAAATATAAAATTCAATTTCAATTTAGTGATGATCATTTTCAAACCAATAAACTGAACTTCAAATTAGGCTAATTCATATTCAGTTTCTAAAAGCATTTATTCAAGTTACAATTCAGATTCAATCCGAGCAATTCAAATGTAACTTATTCAAATTCAGTTTCTTTATTTTAAAGTGGATGGTAAAGCGGATGCTGCATCCAGGAGCGAAACAACCGCATTATACTGCTAACTTAACTTCTGCTCCTTGCAAGCATATGTGTGGACAGCATGCTAACACTAAGCTAGCAAGAAGTCAGCATGACTATAAAGACTGTAGCCTATAGGTTTATAATGATACCATATATAATGATAAATGGTAAGTATGAGACAATGGATTTCATGTCATTTTATGGAGAAATGTAAGAGTAATGTAATGAGTAGTATAACAAATTACTTTCTCCTGGGAGTAGTTTAGCAATGCACTGCATTGATTTTAATAAAAGTGTTCTGTGTGTGTGTAATACATTACTTTTTATGAGTGATGACCCCAACAGTGGTTACAACAAAGAGGGGAAAAACTTCCAACACGCACAAACATTTAACCACACGGCATGATATTAATTTGTACAAATGTATTAATGTTATTATGACACAAATGATATGCTGCTTAGCCTGTGAGAGCCATATAAGAACTCATAAGACATATAGATAATTTTCATGTTACCTATAAAAAAGACCAACATTAAGTTCAATGAGGAGAGATGATTAGAAAGAATGAACGTGATTTATTGATGAAAAGAATATAGATAGCGGATAGACTCTGGTGGCCCGTCTCAGCGGAGTGGGTGAAAGGGATTAGAGCAGGACGGAGATGCTGGTGGTGGAGATGAAGGTGGCTTGAATGGAGCCTGAGTGATGAGAGGTAGAGATGGGGAGGAGGTGGGTTGCACAAAGCCGTCTGCAAGGAGAGATGATAGATGCCAATGAGATTTAAAGTATACAGCATGAATGCTGATTGGCCTGGAGAAGGTCAGGAGAATGTGATTGGACTAGACCAGTGATGATGAGTGATGATGGGAGTGCTTAGATTTAGCTGGCAGCACCTGGATGTGGACAGATGTGAGGCCATACATCTTCTTTATTGAACTTGTGCATAAGCTTCATTTGTATTAAAAAAGTCAGTTCAAAATAATTCATGTCAACAGAGAAATGGCTGGATTATTTCTGTTAGTACAACATAGAAACAGTGTAGAGCTTTCACTGCTCTCAGGTTGGTCAGACTCCCACAGCATTGGGAACAGATCTACAAAATGAGTAGGAGTGCAGATCTGCTGTGGGAAGATTGCTTTCCCAGTCAAACACAATTTACTACATTTGTCTCCACAAAGAAAAGAAGGAGACTTAACAGCTCTATTAGTCAGACAAGGAATACATTTACCTAGTTTAGTTATGTTTTATTTGTGGAAACTACAACCCTCTTTTCAAAGATGTGTAGACACTATATTAAACGTAAATAAAAAGACAACATAATAACCTACAATTTGCTGAAAGCGTATACTGGGGACGATCCACCCAAAGTGGCCAGGGAATGATATAGATGAAAACAAAAGAGGGAGCATAAGGAACAAAAAGAGATGAAGAGAGGGTAAACAGCAGGCCTAACGCTTGCCACTGGTACAACTGTTGATGGTGCAGAAGCAGCAGCCCCGACAGCAAACGTGGGGAAATTTGAAAAACATTTCACCCCTAAACTTTGTTCTACGAGTTGCGTGAGCCCACAGCGACGGTAGAGGAAGTGCCCGGCTTCATTAAGGGATTTGACTGGGCGGAGTCGGTAATGAAAATGAATGAACAGGCTGCGGTCAGTGCGTGAAAGTCCAGTGCACAGTGATCAGCCAAAAAGTGTGTCGGCCCACCGGGCAAATGCCTGATATGCCCATTCCAGCCCTGCAGTATTAGTGTCAAGTTTGAAAGTCTAGTATTATGACTAGCCTAATTCCCACCTACACCTGTAATCACAGTCCCTGAAAGCAAGTGGTGTTTTAGACACTATGTTACTGTGCTAGCCAATGTGAAAGCTGCACATGTGGAGATGTACTTACAGTGACAGTAGGTGCAGCGAAGGCCAGGCTGAAGAGCAAAGGCAATGGACAGACTTCCTGTCTTGGGAGGATGTATGGCAGAGATAGACTGCGATCATTACAACTGTACCCAGAATGCACCGGCTGGAAAATATCCGTCAGCTCCAGGAAGTAAAGACTGACAATAGAGGAGGCCAGAATAGGGAGCTGCAGAACAGAACACAGACCGATGCAAAACAAATGAACACAGTGTGTGGAGATGAAGTTAGGAGAAATACATCAATACAAAAAAATCACACACTTGTTTAAAAACAATAAACTGCATGGATATAAGAAATTGACCTGTCTCATTGTGTCTGTTGAAGACTTGTCCTCATTTTTATAGATTCAGGCCAGAGTAACTCAACTAACTTAAAGTACTCATTCAGGTATTTGTCACAGATAAATGGTAAATGGCCTGTATTTGTATAGCGCTTTTACTAGTCCCTAAGGACCCCAAAGCACTTCATACATCCAGTCATCCACCCATTCACACACACATTCACACACTGATACTCCATATGAAGCAATGCCCAAACATTACTCCGTTTACTGCCCTCCCCCCGGCTCAGAGATTTAGTGGGGTGTTATATATGAGTGTGGACTTGTATACAGTTAAACATGTGTGGGTTATAAAATGGCAAATTCTGAATATTGATTTGAAAATAATGGAATTTGAACAAAGGGGGTTGAAACAGAAAACGTGTAAATGTCATGCTACTCCTTTTTGAGCATAAACACTGTGTAGATATTAGATATTCATGGAAACTTGATGTTTTTACGTTTTTCTCTTGTTATTTTAGTTATATTTACATGTTCAAAATAAACTGTTCTGCCTATCCACATTTTATATGTACATTCACAGGTTAGGTGCTCCTGTTTAAGTGCTTGTTGATGCAAATATCTAGTCAGCCAGTCACAATGTCACAACACAATGCATTAAGGCATGTAGCCATGATCAAGGCTACCTGATGAAGTCCAAACCAAGTGTCACAGTGGGGAAGAAAGGTGATTTAAATGAAGATGAAAGTAGCGTGGTCGTTGGTGCTGCTCTGAGTATTTCAGAAACTGCTGAACTACCAGGATAACACAACCTGCTTCCAGCAGGATAACACACCTTGTCACAAAGGTGAAATAATCTTAAACTGGTTTCTTTGAACACGGCAATTAGCTCACTGCACTCAAATATACTCTATAGCAGGGGTCCCCAACCCCTGGACTCCGGTCCAAATGTGGAGATCAAGGGGGTTTACTCCGGACCTAAAGCATTTTCCCATTTTCTATGTCGTTAGATATTTTATTCCTGCTGGCTGCAGTGGCTGACTTTTGAACAGGCGCGATGGGCAGCTATGTGGGTCAGCGACGTTCTAGTCCACACTCTAAGCCAGCTGGTGGCGGTATTGCACCACCAACTGCCAAAAAAACGACAAAGAAGAACAATGCAGGCCATTCAATGCGGGTTGCTAAGTGACTATCTTGGAAGCTCGCACTTGCTGACAGCACAATGACGACTTGGTGGTGCACAGAAGACTGGGTAAAAGAAGATGGCTCTGTCAAAAATATGTAAAGTGGACTATGAAAGATGAATGGCCATTCCCCATCTGTGAATGCTACTCATGACCACTGATCAGTGGTTGTTGATCAATGGTCATGACAATTTGCATATTATTGATCAAGGAGCTGATCTCACAGCCCATTGTTCCTTCAGTGGGCTGGTTTCAGTCATTGTGCAAATGTCCTGTTTATAAGACTGAAACCTGCAGTCAGCTGAGACTGAAGACGTCACCTGATGATGACGAAACGTTTCTCCCACTGAAAACATCCTGACGAACAGAATCAAACTTTTGGGATTTACTTACCTGGTTGATTGAGCATCGAGACACATTAATGTTGGTTTGTGTGCAATAGATTATTGCATAATTTCTTTGTTAAATAGTTTTAATATCAGTACTTGAACTGGATTGCACTTTTCTGTTCAGCAGATGATGTAATGAGCACATGAATAATTGATCAGTAGTTACAAGATAAAAATCTATATTGTTAATTAAATGTTTAATAAACATGAAAGAAAATATTTTTGTTGGTTCATTTAAAATGTTCTGACCCCAGATTGACTGGATGATGGAGTGGACCTCCTGCTATTGTAGCTGGATACCGCTGCTCTGTAGTCACCAGATCTCAGTCCCACAGAGCATCTTTGGGATGTGTTGGAATGACCGAACAGGAAGGTTTCTATGGAGCACGTCTGATTTTGGTTGGCACTGAATGATTTAAAGAAGCCGAAAAAGAAAATATAATTGAAAAATATTTTTGGATTTACATATAATTTGCATCCTACTTGTCTTTCTAAACCAGCCAGAACAACTGAAAGTCCATTTTAAGTTGGATTAACTCCTTCCTATGTTTGTGGTGTATTACATTCAACTGTTTCATAAAATGTAAATAGAACCTAAGTACATGTAAAATTTATTGTATTATCCTTTTCTAACACTTTTATGTTTTAACTGATTTAAAGAAGAAACACAAAAGACAAAGTGCTACATTTTAGATCTCTCTTTAACCTGTCAGTCAAATGTTCAACAGAAAGAAGCATCATATTGCATATTTTTGGCTTATTTAATGATACAATTATCTGCGCTGCACATATGTGAAACCCAGGGGTTAAAGTGGGCCAGAGTGATCTGCGTAATTTCAAATGGCTGAATCAAAATCCCCAAACACACAAACTGTTCCCACGCAGTTTGTCAGAAAACATATCTGTGAGCTAAATGTGCAGAAAACATGTGCAGCACTGATAGCTGCAGGAAAATGTAAGAGGAAGAGGAGAGATTATTTTCAAAGGTGAGGACTGCTCAGCAAGCTCACATGTAACGTCCTAAATCGCTGTAGGTATTTAAAATCAGATCATTTATCAAGTTTTTGGCTTGTTTTTCTGAAACATCTTGCAAAACGAGCTGACGTATGCAAATGTTGGGTTATTCACAGGTTGCATGAAAATACCAGGCAGCTTAGCGCAGCATAAAGTGGTGTGTTAGCAGGACTGTGATAACGTTTACAGTGATGCATTATGTTGGATTGGCTAAATCTCGATTACATCAAAGGTAACAGACATTAGTTTATAACACTGGTCAGATTCACTCACTGAATTCCACCTGTTATACCAGCTATCAGCCGTAGAACTCACATAACATTTGTTTATATCTTTTTGAAATTTGGCTGGCTAAATCCACACAGAGAAGCTATTACTGAAGCAGCACAGCTGATCACAGCCTGCACACAAAGAATGTACTGCTCCTACGGGGTAAGAGCATCACAGGAGCACAAGCTAGCTAATGTGGCTTAGCTGCTCAAAAGTGTATGCAACTAAAAAGTTGTGTTGGTTCTCAGTCACCTAGGTCATGGCAGTCTAAGGAGAAAGGAACGTTTCTTGAAGACATTTCACCTCTCATCTGAGAAGCTTCTTCAGTTCTAAAAGCCGAAGGTGGAGAGTCCCAGGTATTTAACCTGGGTTGGAGCTGACCCACTCACCATCACATAGCAAGGTCTCACACCCATGACCTCTGCTTATCTCAGAGGCGTCCTCCTTCGTTTGTTTACTGCTGAGAAACCAAATAATGTTCATTTGTCTATTTAGGGTCCTGAGCTCCAGCATCATGTCAGGTATGGCTTAACAGCTTGGACATATCAAACATATGACTCCAGCAGACAATCTATACTGCATTTAAAACATGTTTCTCTCCATGTTTGCTCTGATGACTGTCAGGCAGTATTGGGAATACATGTTGTGTTTCAGTGTCAGCAACAAACAAAGTTTCTTGTTTCTAAGCTGGCAAACCCTAATGTCTCTGCTCCTGAGCATCTGTGACTGTTTCTGTGTTCACCAGCCCAAGAAATTAGATAATGAATGTTGTTTTTCTCAGCCTGTGAAGACACAGCCTGAATTTTGTGTTGCCAAGCTGCCATGGCAGAGTCTTTCTGTGGTGCTTCACTTGAGACTATGCTAGTAGCACAGCTAAAGCCTTCAAGGACTGTCGCTCCATCTGGAGCCCAGGTAAGCACTGTTTCTGTTGTTGCTACTCCTAAAGACTGTTGTGCTCTCTTGTCTGTGCCAATAATGATTATAGCTCCACCAGTGATTGCCCCTGAGCCTTCACCTCCACCTGTGTCTGCTCCTAGGCCGGCACGGACCCAGCACTCTCCTGCACCCGTTCCAGTTCTTAGTCTGCTGATTAAATTGTGTCCACAATGAAGATTCAAATTTTAAGGATCAACTCCTGGATTTGTGAGTGAACAACCTGTGAGTAGCAAACTTATCAGGGAGGGAAAACAGACCAAACTCATGTCATACACGAACAAACAAATTAGGTTCCTTTGCTGGCTGCAGGACGTCCTGCAAACAGCAGCAGGGTTTGCTTGAGGTGTTAAGGAAGACTGTAAAAACATCTGGTAGCTCAGCAGACTAATTAAAAATTTAACAAGCAAATATACAGCTTGAACTTTCAGGTGGAACCACATAATTTCATGGAAAAGATCAAGAACGAACACGGAGACACAGAAACCCATCATGGTGTTAAACTGACACAAGCTCACAGCAGGGTTCACATAGATTGAACTAAGTGGTGATATTTTATCTATTTTAAGAAATTGTTTTAATAATGACAGCAATTATAAGAAAGAATAAAGATTTCTAAAACTGTTGTTTTTTTACTATTATTATTATTTTTCTGTATCGTTCCAATCAGCCTTTATCTGTCTGTCTTTCCACATAAACAGGTAGCGATTTTAGCATTAGCATCTTGGCTAATCCAATCAGATGGCGACAGACAACATGTTATTCCACACCTGCAGAAGAAAATACTGCTAATGATGACTTGTGACAATATGTCTCTTGTGTAAATAAACACATACATCCAAATGTATTGTTGTTTTTAATAATGGTAAATGGCCTGTATTTGTATAGCACTTTACTTAGTCCCTAAGGACCCCAAAGCGCTTTACACTACAATAATGGTAAGCAACAATGCGTGCTCCACGGCTAGTCTGCCAGAAAATATAACAAGATATCAAATTTAAAATAATCCAAAGAACATGTGTAGCTGCTACTGTACAAAGAGATGAAACATGCCAAAGATGATTGGTTCAGGTAAAACAAGCAAGTCAAAGGTCAA